GCTCCCAGACTCAATGATCCCGAAGAAAAATTATTGTTTTTATTTTTCTACTGATTAACGCTAAATTCATTAAATCACCACAAACGTCTTAGTTTCTGTATAAATAACGATCCATTGATTATTCCTGCTGACCGGACGTTTCCTTTAAATAAAACAGCTCTTAAATAATATTCATCTTACCCAAAACAGGCATGTTGTCCAGTTGTTCTCTGGTCAGATTTAGCATGGGTTCATCATGATCCACTTTCAAACCGCAATCCCTCAGAACTTGCTGCACTTCTTTCTGAGCTGCTTTCATAGCGTCTGGACTCCTGGAAACAAGCATACAGTTATTAATGTTTGTTATTCTTTATCCGTTATTGCCAGTATCACGTGATGTTTCTATTTCTAAGCCTACAAGTGAAAAACCTTTAAATATGGAGTTTAACTGTCATTACAGTACAGATTTAACACACCATGTAAAAAGCAGGATTTATTTCCAGTTATGTACTCAGTTCTAATATGTCATGGTTGTTAATGTTTTACTCCTTTCCCACTGGCTGAGAAACCCGTTTAAACCCGATGTTCTGTCAGACCAGCACACCTATGGTCAATACGCATGCGCAAGATGTGAGATTTGCGTTTATCCCTTTAGTTTAGTATGAAAAATAAACTTTAATCTACCTTGACGGACGTTTATTCCTTTAGCCATGTACAAAACACCAAACAGTTTAAGGTCAGATCCCCATACGCTTCAAAAAACATCAAAACTAAGTAATTAAATAGTTTTTTGTTCATGTACAGTTGAGTTCTGGCTTGTTTGCTCTCCCTTAATTAGTCATTCCTTTCACCTGTCGTTTTCCCTCCCTGCCTAGATTATAATTTCTTCCTCTCACCTGTTTCCTCTGGTTTATATTCAGTTCAGCCTGAGCATTCAGGGCCAGATCATTAACTGTTTCTCTGTTAGCCTTTCTGTTCAGTTTATTCCTTGGTTCGTGTCCTGGATCCTAGCAGCCAGTGGAAGGAGGGTTTTTGTGTCTGTCTCGTCTCCTGATCGTCCACTGTTCCTCCCCCGCAGAGTCCTCTGGGTTTTTGGCTCTATATGTGGGGATTGTCAGTTTTTATCCAGTAAGCCTAAATAAAAACCTGTTTAAAGTCCTGCATCAAGTTCTAGTTCCACGTCCTGTCTCGGCTACCCTCTTCCACTGAGCCTGCTCATCTGCACCTGATCCTGTCTGCTCCTGTGCGTGACTACCTGGTCATGCTTCTGGTCCCAGTCAGACTCTGAACTCGCCTGGGAGCCTGTGGATGTCTGGAAGCCTGGATCCTGCCACCTGTCTCTGTTCCTGTCTGTTCTGGATCCCTGACCAGGATCGGCTTCCTGCAAGACCTCTGGAACTGCAGCACTGGGGACACCTTGAACTGGACTGCTAAACCAGAGTGTCTGAGATTGGGCGGTGCCCCGCTACCCCTCCTGCAGCATCCGCGAGCCACAGTTCCTAGAAGCTCTACTTTAGTTCTTGTTTTGTTTTTCTTCAATTAAACGTTTTGTACTTTCCTACTGACTGTCTCTCCTTGAATACTGGGTCCATCTGTCCGCGGTTCATGACAACGGTGTCTAGGATAGTGTCCGAGGTGTGCCAGGCATTGTAGACGGCGCTACAGCCAGAGTTTCTGCCATTAGCTACCAAACAGGAAATACGCTTAGTGTATAGCGGATGCAGAAATGACTGATCAGAGGTCTGCTGTCTGCGACATTGTCTGCGGTCACCTACAGTTTTCGGGGGGGGGTGTTTCTGACCATAAACCAGGCTTCACTGTTTATGTTTCAGATGTGTAATCTGTCTCGCTGCAAAGGACACAGACCACTGCAGTCACAGTTTGATCATTGTCCTAAAAAGAGTCGTCTTCCTACCTGATCATATAAAATAAGCTCCAGAACGTCGCGGGCAGCGTGTTGGCCTGGGACGCCCACAGCAGAGCGACGTGGGTTCTAGCTTTGCTCACATCGTTAAACGTAGATAAAGAGTCATTCAGTATCATTCTCATAGAGATCAGATCAGACATATTGTGTCTCTTGGATAAGTTCTCAGCATGCATGGTCTTTGCTAGGTTCTAAAACAAAGGAGAAGAAAAAAACGAGTTAAAACATTATTTTTTAATTGGGTTAGAATGTGTTTGCACTAAATATTCAGGGATGAGTGTGTGCTCAGCACTCACCTCTCTGGCACTGTAGGCGCTCTGGAAGACATGGATGGGCAAACCGGCCACTAGAGCCGGAAAAATCTTATCAAACTCTTTGAAGTTCTCCAAAGCATTGAGGACCAAGGCTTTCTGCGCTGCCTGCCTGTTACGACACTTATCTTCTCCAAGCTCTTTGCCAAATAGAGTTAGGTAGCCAGCTTCAAACATTACCTAGGAAACAAGGAGCATGTATGGTAAGCTTTCTGTTTTAGCACCAACCTCAAGGCCAGAACACACTGAAACTGACTTTACGTCCGATCCGACAGAAAATCCTGCCTTAAGCCGGGCATAAACTGTACGATGTTTTGCCCTGTTTGATTCTCCAGTCATATAAGTGTGACTTTCAGCCTGATGGTGCGCGGTGTTAGCCTCGTGAGACCATCGTGATCTAGCGAGCTTTCAAGGTTTCACTCGCAGATCAGTCTGGCTACTTTCCGTTAAAGAAAGTTAAAGTTCAGCGAACGAATGTCCAATCAGCGTTGGCTTTGAGGCGGGTTGAGGTGTGACGCAACGAGAAGCGCAACAGTTCAGTCTAAAGAACATGGCGGCTTCAGCCGATGAAACTAGCGTTAGCGTGGCTATCGAGCAAGTTTTATGGGAATTACAGAGTATTTCTTCACTGAAAGAAG